TTTTTTATTGATTGACTGACCATTGTTTCTGATTAAGGTTTGTACTTTTTGGTAATTTTTATTTATACTTATTTTAAATGTTTATGTTTCTTGTGTTAATGTGTATTTATTGTAGCTGTAATATTCATCCTGTAATTGGGTTTCTCCCGTTGGGTGAATTAAATTAAATAAATAAATAAATAAATGAAATAAATAAATAAGTGAAAAGGAAAATGGAGATGCAGTACCTAAGATATAAAAGACAAAGGTCATGTGTTTCATCATGAAATTTTTAAATTGTCATAACTTCTGAATGCCTTAATCGATTTCAATAAACGATGGCTCATTTTAAAGAACTATTAACAAAATTTATATTTATGACATGGGAATAAAAATATTATTTTCCTGCGCAACGGTAGAAGACGCTAATGAGAAAGTTTTGTAATTGTCTCTGTTTACTAAAAAAATTAAATGCAAAGATATAGTTGATAGACCATTCAATAAGGAAAACAAATACACAAACCGGAGGTCGATATCTTTTTTCGTTTTCAAGTTATTGCTAAAATAGTGAAGTTGTGCTAGAACATCTTCCTTTATTTAGTTCTCTAAATAACATTGACTTAGTTCAAGCCAAAATTATATTAAAAGTATTATATACCAATCTTGTCCTTAAAAAGAACTTACTTTATTTTTAAATTTTTTTAATATATAGGTACAATTTTTTATTTTTTTATTAATTCCAAATGGTATGTTACGTACGGTTACAATAATGACTTTTGCGTCTGGGTTCTGTTTTTCACTTAGAGATTCTCAAGAAATATATCAAGATTGGAAATTAAAACTGAAATTTCATGCTATCAAGCAGATAGATGTTACCACCAACCAATCGGCAAGAATACCCTTTCTATGATTCCTAATAAGATTGCACAGTTTTTGAATCTAGAACATCTTGAAACATATACAAACCATTCATTCCGAAGAACATCGGCAACGTTACTGGCTAATACAGGAGTTAATACTCAGGTTTTTTTTTGTTTCATTTATACTGATATTTTTTTTATATTACTATACTTGTGTTGTTTTTGTTATACAGGGTGTTTCAACTAAACCTTCCCACCTGAAAATATCGGAATTAAAAAAAAAACAAAAAAAAATCTGAGATACGTCGATTTTCTTGTCAAGGGGGACAAGTTATGGTGTCTTGGAAGCTACCCCTTAGACAGGGGTGTAAAGTGCCCTTAATCTTTAAATAGCACCTTATGTTGAGTGACAACTCATTTCAAAGCTTTTTCTATTCTGTTCACGACGACACAACTTTTTAAATTTTGTTTTTGATATGACAAAAAAATCATCTCTTAAAGAATAAGACAAATTATTATCAATGAAGAAAAAAGTCTAAGGGCGTTAGATCTGGCGGTCTGGGAGGCCACTCAATTGAACCCCGCGTCCTATCCAGTGATTTGGAAAGTTCTGATTAAGAAAACCACACACGGCTACGGCATAATGTGGTCGAGCACCATCACCCTGTATATTGTAGTGGTTTAGAATTACGTTTTTATTATTTTTATTTATGTTATTAATGTTAAAATAATAAAAACCTTTGTTTACATTTGTTTGAATTTAACTTTATTTTGAATTGAAGTTTGGGAACATAATTTAAATTTAGTTTCTGCAAAAATTTTCTTGCTTCTTGAGTTTTGTTGAGAATTCATAGAAGGTTTAGAGAAGATTATACGACTGACGAATCTCATCCTATAGGGTGTCCCAAAAATAACTAAGGATTTGGATTGTGTGCCATTTTCATTCCGAAGTATTGGCAGCATTGCGCTGGGTTACATGTTGTAGTAATCACGTTGCGGTTAGACAAAATGGAACGCTATTGGACGGATGAGCGAGTGAAAATTGTGAAAATTCATTACAAGTACGGAGAGTGTGTAGCTGAGATTGTGCGCAAACATTGCCAAACTTTTTAATTAATAAAAAATTTTTTGCTCATATGAAATATTTCGTTTCTTTTGGGACACCTTTTTACATATTTGGGCAACTTATTAAGTACATAAAATTTTAATAAGGTTTGCTAATTTCAATAAAAAGCTGACACTTCTCTTGTTTTTCAAGTATTCATGTATGGTGCCTAATATCATAAAATAGAGTTCAAATTTGGTAAATACGGATTAAAACTAATTTGGACCTCGTAAGAATTACACTAATTATGTGATAAGAATAGGTTGCAATAAAAAAATTATTCCCAACATTACTTAAATATATGATGTAAACAAAGTTAAGACAGTCGCAGACTTTTAATTAAGTCAATCCAGATGTTACGAAGTTTAAAATAAAATTCAAGGCCACGGAAACAATCGAAGGAACAATAAGGTTGTTTTAGTTTAGGCATCTACATAATTTTCGTTTTACATAGGGGAAATTCCGTGCTACGTCAATGTAAAATCTAATATGTTTGAGGAATAACAACGAGTTAGTTTTATCAGTTAGAAATTATCAACAAATACCGCAAATGTACAGAGAATTCAAGAAATAAATGCAAAGATTTTGGCTATATTCTTAACTCATCAAATGTAACAACTTTTTTTTGACAATTTTTTTCAAAAACTTAAATGTTTTGTACGGTATTTTATAACCACTGAAATGCCAGTGTCTTATGATCCACTGTCTCAAAATCTTGTTTATTTAAAATTTAAAACTAAAAAATATATTGCCTTAAAAGATACGAGATTTTCGAAAAAATTATTAGACAAACGCTTTTGATCTGTTAAAGGCAAAATTTTGGCAATTACTTTTAGGTCGCTCTGTATATTCCTTTGATTAAAAGTCGCATGCAAAAAATACCTACTATTGAAAACTAAATCGTGTATTCTGCGCTTCAGTTAAACAACCTTTTAAAACTACCCCTTACTATACGGACTTACCTTCTTTCTGAAGACAGGCAATTACCACCAGAAGGAGAAGGGTCGCTGCTGCTGTCGCCATCGTCGACTGTGAACTGTATAGGCCGGGATTCGTTTTTCGATTTGTTTTGCCAACGGTACTTTGCAGAAGAATGACCGCTTTGTAAACAAGGCGATAACAAAAAATGCGAGAACTCGTTTGGGGACGGCCCAAGTAACTGCTTCTTCGGAAGCGTCTTCACAACCACAGATATCGTTAACGACTAGATCTAATTGCGTCTGAAACTTACAATTAGTGTGACGGTTTGGTCTGTGTTCTAACAATGCCGTAAAAAACGTTATAATAATTTTTTATAAACGGAGTTTAAAAAATTCGCAAGCCCATTTTTCTTGGACAGCTGTATCAATTAAAGAGTAATTAAACATCGTAAAAGTTTGCAGGATCATCAACGTTACCTGTAATAAACGTGTCTCCGGGTCTCGCTGTTTCATTGTATAGGTGGTTGCCTACCTTGTAGATGGCATTCTTTTATGTACGTATACCGATAACAATTCTATACTTAGTATGTACACTGGGTGGCCAAATTGTTAGGGACAGTATTCAGTTTCTTCTCTTTTCTAGTTTGACTGAATTTTTTGGACAAACAGTTGGTTCTATGGCTTGCAGCTATTTTCTATTCAAAAGAGTGTATTATTTAAGATCATAAAACAACGAGTTACGTGGGCGAAACTATTTATTTTTCCCGTAAAAGCTATATGTGCATTAATCGAAATTTGCTAAAATTAATGTTAGTATTTAATGATGCACCCTTTGCCGCAATTAGAGCTTTTATGTCTCGAGGCATGCTCTCTATACAGACTTTAGAATTCTGTTGGAGTTCGACGTTGTTCGAAAATTTGAAACGTTGATTCGTCGGAAAATATTGAGATTATCACAAACAAATCTTTATTAACATTATTTTAATTAGTTGTTCTCATTCGAATGCAGTCATATTCTGGAGTTATTGGGTCCATTACAGCCGCATCTTCTTCATAACCTCCATCAAAGGTGTTTTTTTGGTCGACAACGACAGATCGGGTTTTCTTCTGCCAATCACCTTCGAACTGTCATTTGGGAAATTACAATTCCTTCATTGTTTATTATAGTAATTCTATACGACATATCAATAACGTTTTGATAATTTGTGACAGGAAAAACTAACGAAAAACGATTCAGAAATATTTTTTAGCATCTTACTGTAACAAAAGTTTTTAACAAGCTACCACCATACGAAGAGTTACATCACTTACCTGATAAACGATGCAGGATATCAGATTGCCCCTCAAAAAAAATATTCATAACAGTACTAGCTGCAATATAAAAGAAAAAAACCTTGTGAAGACCTGTTTGTTTTTTTCAAAACAAAAATTTCAACTAGAAACTTCATAAATATGAGTACTGTCCCTAATAATTTGGCCACCCACTGTAATTGGGAAACAGTGATATAGGGTCACTAGATAAGATATATAGGACGTAAATATGTGATAATTATGACCTTTCAAATGGGGAGATAAAAATATAATTTTTATTACACTTTCCTTACAAATAATTATCTTTGCAATTCTTTTCCTATCGCGAACATATTCATTTAAAAATCTGTTTTAGATAGCACGACTTATTTGAAACAAATTTGATCTCTTACTTTTTTTTTTGTAAATTTAATGATATTTAAGAAACAATAGTATCTATATTTTATGTTAGGATTAAAAATTTTGTTTTTGTGGCGAGCAAATTTTGGAGAATAAAGCAAAGTACGTAAGTAGGATATATCGATGTAGTCATGGATACTTTGTCAAACATTAGTCGCCATATTGCTAACTGAGTTCATTTGTGATTGTTTGTAGTTCAATCATAGACCTTATAAACTACAGGTCAATGGGTACAATTTGCTGAAAACTCTCTAAAAATGGAATCTAATCAAGATTTAGGTGTACCTGAGGAGATATTGAAGTGTGGGAAAGAGGTTTCTTTGAATCTTCTCCAAAGAAATCTCGAGAAATTTATGAATGTGTCTACCAACGTTTTATGGATTGATGAAAAGAAAAAAAAACATTAAGTTTTATTTAGAAGATATATTGATGGTGTATTTCTCAAACTTAGCAAATAAAATTAAGCCGTCAACGTATTGGTCCCAATATTCAATGTTGCGATCAACGTTGGATATAAAGAAGAGGACTGATATAAGCAAATATTCAAAGTTACGTGCTTTTCCCGAGACACGAAATGAGGGATATGTACCGAAAAGATCGCGAGTATTTACAAAGGAGCAAGTTGATTGCTTTTTGAATAGTGCACCTGATAATTTATATTTGATGATGAAGGTAAACGCTTTAAAAATAAAAGAAGAAAATTTTTAAAAAGCTTTTTTATAGGTTGTCATAATATTGGGGTTGCAGGCGCATGCCGTTCTGATGAATTAGGCAATTTAACAATTGATGCTGTTGAAGATGTGAAATCCGCCTTAATTATAAAAATTCCCAATACCAAAACCAGGAGACCACGTTCTTTTATTGTGCTGGGAGACAATTATTCAAGTTTTTATCGAAAATATGTTGCTTTACGCCCACCCGGACTTTTAATTTTGAATAAAGAAAATATTACGAACAGAATACTGAAAGCTGATAGTGGTAGTGATAAACCAAGCAATGAAAACGTGTTGGACTGCTTTGAAAATTGCTCCAAAAATGAAGGTAGTGGCAGTATGTCAAGCTTAGAAACTTCTGACAGTCAAACAATGTCATAGTTTTGTGATGGTTGTAGAAAAAAATTTATTATATTACAATTCATACAATGTGGGAACAAAAGATTAGGGAAAGGAAAGGATAGAAGCGCATACATAGAGTAACGACTATAAAATTAGTAATGAAAGGGCGTTTTGTAACTTGATAAAATCGGCGTTTAGCTTGTCGGCTCAACAGAAGATTATTAACATCTGAGTTGCCAGAGGGCGCAACAGGTGATTCTATGAACCGGGAAATTTAAATTTGCAGATGTTTTGAGTGACAGGTGGTGGAAAGAGAAGCAATATTGAATTTGGTCGATGACGAATCGGACGCCAGCACTAGAAAGGCTGTTTTTTAGTTAAATATTAATTACATGGCAGTATGGGCCATATTAAAAGAAGAATTTGTTGTTTATCAACAACTATGGCTAACGAAATCGACAACCAAGACTAAAAAGTTAAGCAGACTTTTTAAAACATCGCTTCAAGATTGTTTTTGTTATAAAATTGCAACTGTTGAATAAAATGTTGTATGTATATGACACTTGAGATTGAAATGCGGCAACCAGCTGTACCAGTCGCGCGTAGCAATACAAAAGCGCTGATGGCGGTTTTGACGGTTTAAATTTTGTGTTCGTAACTGCTGAAGTTTATTCTAATCTCGTTTGAAAGTAACACAAAAATTAAACGAACAAACGAATTACTTACCAATAGATGGTATGCTTTATAAAAATTGTTCAAAGTTGTTTCCATGTGCTGATAAACACGCTTCCAAACGACGGTCACAATTCTGTCACCAAAAACACCACACCACACTCACTGAAAACCGTTGCTGAAACCGAGATCTCTGTACAACCTGAAGATTAGCATCACACCAAGAGTGAGTGTTTTAAAAATTAGTATGCTTGTAATATCCGGATCTTGCGCTATTTGATGTCGAACCCACTGGCAAAATTCCACACGGAGCTGAAAATCGTTGTTATTTAATATCTGAACACTTTGTACATGATAGGGGTGTAATAATTGTTCCCATAGTACGCATAGGTAGTTTTATACGGCAGTAATATTGCAACACACATTGCACGTGCACAAGATGCACAAGGTCGGCCAACATTTATGGTTAATTTTCTTAATTTTCTCGAAAACAGAAGCAATTAGACCATCAGTTACTTAGTAAATGTTGCTCATTTTCTATCACCCTTTTCAAGTAACACACTTTTTTCAGAAACACCCTGTATAACCCTCCAAAATCTCTAAAACTAAGTGTTATTTTCTTAAAACCTCAATGTTCAAGTAGGTGATATGTAAAAAATTATTTAATTTATTCATTTTTTTAATAAACATTTAAAGTGAGGAACAAATAACTTCAACAAATATTGGACATAAACTTGCTTATTTATTTTGTAACTGATTCTATTTCAATCGTATTTAAAATATCTTCTTTGTTTAATTAAAAATCAAGAAAGCAGCTTTCACAAAGAGAAGAAAACAATATGGAAGATGTCAAAAGTCAAATTATTCACTTGTTTCCTAATAAATCCTCATCCAACCTTTCCGCGATCAACCGCGGTAGATTATTTTCCAATTTCTAACGTTTTTACGCATGGAAATATCGCGGCTATCGTTTCTGGGACCATGGAAGGTCTGCGGACATATTCAGAAACAGACTCGTGGCCTCTCTCGTTCCGCGTGCCTCGAAAAGTTGGATAAAACTGGACTGGAACAACTACGTTGCTGCCTGCGGTGACATTGGGAGGTGATGATAAAGTGATATCGCCGTGTTTGTGTGCAATTTAATGCAGCAAATAGTCTGTCACTTCCGAATGCGTCGGTTCCAGGAAATTCGATGTTGAAAATTTTATGATGTATGTGGAAATAGTAACAATACGGTGGCGATGCTTTGTTTTTAACGGAACCAGGTTTTTAAAGTTTGGAAACGGCGCGCATTGGCCGTTGTTCAGTTGTTTCTGAAGACATGTGAAGTTTTTACGAGATATTAGAGCACTTAAATAGGTTTTTTTTAACAAATTATATTAAAAATGTACAGAATTGCAGGACTTGCGGATCTAATTGATTGGCTACCGGAACACTCGCCAGGATTCCGTTCCTGGTTACTGAACTGCCGATTCCCAGGGTTGACGTTTGGTCACACCCAGCCACGGCATCACAGGGTGTTGTCTTTTATTAGGTCCGAATTCCGTTATATTCAGAGAATTTTCACTCTCCGAAATCCGGCTTTGTGGACACGAATGGAAAGTGTGGTGAATTTTCGAGACGCTGTTTACAATTGTAATATCCCATCATTGTCTGTGTTAAATTATGAGTAATATCCCGTTCATTGTCTGTGTTAAATTATGAGTATGTTGTTGGGCAAATGCGCATAAAACTTAAACGAACACAAATGTTTATATATATTTTCACCCAATATCCTTTTTAATCTATTTGCTGTCTCTAGAAATAAATTTGTGATAATTAGTAACCTTATTGTAGATGATGTCAGAAAATGAGGGAGGGGTAAATTCGAGAGAAGGTGAT